TGGACCCCTCTTCCCTCCCCAACCTCCAGGAATCATCCCCCCTCCCCCCTGACACTACACCTATGAACAAACAACATTGGAGTGTTTAAATTCAGTGCAAGAAGAGTAATTTGAGAACATTTAATTTCACTCTAAACAAAGGCAAGATTTTATCTATATAGACATCCAAACGCCAACGTTTTTGGTACAGTGTGATGAAGTTACACAGATTCCACTCTCGGAGGTATGCTCTTGCAGTGACCACCTGCATCCCACACACAATGAGTGTTTGAAACAGTGTAATATGGCAAACTCAACGCTTTAAAAAAAAATTTATTCAGCTGGAATTGGAACTCCCTAACATTCACAATATAATTTAGGATGCATGTTACATGAAGAGCAGATAAAAGACTTAAACAATTTCACAGACCAGTTAAGATATTCCACATGCTCCTTCCCCACCTACAATACTGACACCTTGGTTATTTGGGTTTTTTTTGGTGTGGGGTTTTTTTTTTCCTTAACAAATACTCAGTTCAGCTTGTCTACCTGACTACCTCCCCGATCTCTGCAGGAGCAGACATACAGCGGTAACAGTGAGAGGATATGGGACACTGTCCTGTCCAGTGTTTGGACCCTGGAAAGGAGTAGGCCTAGCCATGAGAACGATGAGCTGAAGCACTTCAGCCACCGAGGCAAAGCTGCACTCAGAGAAAGCTGTATAGTCACAGGGAAAGAAAAGCATTAGGGGCTGAACAGAGGGGAAAGGGGGAAGTAGTCTTAACACCATCCCCTCCACCCCCAGCAACCCATTAACTTTACAAAGAGTTCAAGAACTAACAAAAACCATTATCTGCAAGGCCCAGAGGATTAGATGCCACGTGAACATGACCCACTCCAAATCCTGTATTATTTGTCAACACTTAACAGGGCTTTAGCCATGCACAGTACGCATATTCTATACTAACCCCTTCCTTCCACCCCTTCCTCTTTCCCCTCCCCCCTCAAAAGAATATTAGAGTTTCACTACTGGTTTCCCTGTACATCCCTCCCCAGTTTTCTTCTCTTTTGAAGGCAGAGGAGCTGTCAAATATATTGACAACTTTTCTTTCAACACTTACCAAATCTTAAGGGATATAAAGACATTGGTGCATTTAGGAATTTACATACTTGTAAAAAAAAAAACCTAGTTATAAAACTGCATTTTTTATAACCTAGCACTTCCAAGATTCATTGTTATTTTTCACTAATATATTAAATTAAGCCAAGGTTCGAGACCGGAAAAGTTCTACCAATCTACTTAAAAACAGAAAAGAATATTTAAAACCAAAAATGAAAAGGTTAGTTATGTTACATTCCAAAATCCACAGCCCATTATATTAAATGCATTCTTTCTACAGGAATGATGTTCTTTAAAACACATGACTGCAAATATTTTACTGCTAGACACTCCGTTACATTGGATAGTGTGACTGGAACCTGTGGATGGTGAACCCTTGAGGTTTGTCCAAGTTTCAATGTAGGGTGTCCAAGGTCCTCTCCCAGAACCACGTTTGGGAAAAAAGAAAAAACACAGATCAAGTTCTTATGACTTTTTTCAATCTTTCCTTGGCTTTCTGTTTCTGGGTGATCTATTCACAGTTTCCTCCTCCTGCAAGAAAGTAATCTATGTAAACATCAAGGAAATAAAATCTAAGGATACTCTTAAAAACCACAGAGAAAACCTATGAAGTATGCTCTACCTTCAGTTGTACATTGGGGTTTCATTTCTGAAAGCACATCCTGCAGTTACTACCCTTCCCTTCTACACATGGTAAACAAATCATCTTGTTTTCCTACTGGATGTACACTATTTGCTCAGAGTACTCCACAGCTGCTGCTGCTGCGAGAATCCCTTTAGCTTCAAGCAACACCCCACCCATTTTTTAGTCAGCCATTTTATCAGTGTGGAACACTTAAGAGGTGACATCCTGACTGCACACGAAGCTGAATAAGCCTTTTGCCTCAGGAAGATACATTCCAGAGACTCCCACTCCTCTCACAACTCCTCTCCCTGCAGGGTCTACAGCAGTGCCTTTAGGGAGGTGCCCAGCTCTGCTGAAGCTGGCCACAGCAATTCCTATTTTGCAAGGTGATTAAGTTTTCCAAAGTTCTGACACTGGGGGGAGTATCACAAGAGCCAGGTTAACTTTTAACACTTTTGGAAGGCTCGTTCTACATGATTTAAGGGAAAAAAAACCCCACACAGGACTTCCCTCAAAGATTAAGGACTCTTACCTCTGATGCAGGTTTCCTGTCCTCTTCCTCTTCTTCTTCCTCCTCCTCTTGACTAGCACTTCCTATATCAGCATCACTTTTCTGCTTCTCTTCTAAGGGAAATAATAAAAGTCTCATTCTCATTTCTGACATATCTTCAGTTCACCACTGGGTTTACTCCATGTCTGCCAAACCCTGCTGTTTTATTCTAATCAGAGAGAAAACTCAAATTCTTTCAAGATTATCCAGTTTACCTACCTAGCTTTTCCTCGTTTGTTTCCTCCTCCTCCTCCTCCTCTTCCTTGTCCCCTTTGTCTTTTTCTTCCTCTTTCTCCTCTTCCATCACATCAGGCTGAGGAGCATCAGTCTTTTTGTATTCTGCAGCACTTGGCTGTTTCTAAAAAAATTGCCCAAACCAAGCAATTATTTGTGATGTTACGGCACATTTCGCTGAATCTCGTTTTAAACATTATACTAATTATCAGAAGAAATGCACACCTTCCCAGAGCAGCAGAAAAGGACAACAAGGAACACCGGCAATGCCACAGTGAGGATGTAGACTACCCAAAGCCAGGGACGCTCCTCAGCAGCTGCCATCATCTGGCCCACAACACCAGGCTGTAAGATCAAAAGAACTGTCAAATTTCATTCCGTACAGCAAATTGTAGCAGTTACATTTAAGCTACAGAATTTTCAAATTAGCCTATTGCAACTTCGAATATTCATTTCAGACCTCAAAAAAAAAAAATCTAAAAACTAAAGCTAACCAACCTGCACAAGTACTTTCTCCATAGTTTACAAATTAAGAATTAGGCTAAAGTTAACAGTCCATTGTCAGAGCAACAACCCCCCAAAATGCAGTTATGCACTCACTGCCATTTAGTAGCCACTATCATACTATAATTAGGAACTGAGGTTCCAGTCTGGTTTAGCATAATCCCTAGCCTTGGTACATGTAAGCACAGACTAATAAAGACTGGGAGAGAGCAGCAGCAATGCTCCTACTGTTCCAGGCAGAAGCACACAATGAAACCTCCATCTCTCACCTCTGCAGCACCATCAGCTGCCTTTTTCAGTCCCCATCCATCACTGGCCCAATCATCAGCCACAGCTCTTTCAGTACAGATGATAAAGTTGTCAAAAAAGATGTCAGAAGTCATTGACCACAACTCAAGTCCCACAGCGCTGAAGGGAGTCATCTTGAAAGGTTCCAAGTCTTCAAAGAAATCTGGGTTTGGGATCTTTCTAGGTTTCCATATACCCTAGGAAAGACAAAAGACATTCAGCCTCACCTGCTGCAATACAATTATTAGTTTTCAGCCCATTCTGAGCACAGAAAAAGAACAATCCATTGCACTTAATTACGACATCTATGGGTGCAAGTCATCATGTTTTGGGAATCAGTTTTCATTTGTGCTACAAAGATGAAGCCAAGTAAGGAAGCACTTTGAACCTGTCCACCTGAAACACAGTAAAATTATGACAGTATTTGTATTCTTAATTACATCATTCTGATTTTAGTCCAGAGAAATGTTGCATTGGCCAGCAGTTTAAGCAATGACAACACCAACCTGATAGTTCACGTTATCAATCATAGGAGGCTTCCATTTGCCTTTGTAATTCGGATTGTCAATCATCGGTCGCTGCCAGGTACCGCAGCCAGGGGCTGTCTCACATTTAGGATTTGCAATTTGAGGTGCCTCCCATTCACCATCCATATCCTCATCCCTGGAAAAGGAAATTCAGCTTTGAAGTCCAATCCTTGCCCTTACACAGAGTAAGACTTAGTGTGCGATTTATGGGGAAATTAAAATTCCTACCATAATTCCATAAAATGGAGATACTGAAGCTTTGTATAGCACAGGCCTGTAGATAGAGACACTGCAGAAGGAATGAGGATTTCAAGAAGTAGCTTGGAAGCACAGAAGCTCAACAGGAGCTGGTCCCTGAACACAGCATCCCCTGCCACTCTCCCAAGTATGGTATAACTGCAAGATGACTATCCCTGCCCTGTTCAGCTCACAGTCACAGGAGCTGAAAAGTGCTCAGGTGAACGCAAGAAGACAAGACTCCTCAGACCAACTCTGCCTTCTGCTTTTGAAGCAAGACAGCCCGAATCAAGACCTTTGTTAGCAAGCCACAGTGAACTAGTAGTTCTTATATTTGTAAAAGCCAGCATCAAAGCCATGAAATATTTGCTATGAGTCGCAACAGGCAGTAAACATACCAGTCTTCAGGCTTCTCAGCATCAGGGTCTGCTACATATTCTGGCTCGTCATCCAGCCAGCCCTCTGGTTTCACAGCATTTTCATCTGCGATCTTTGCAGGAGCATCCTCATCCCTTCGGAACAAAAAGTTATGTATTAACACACACAAGTTTTTAACCCCAAGTCTACAGACTCTGAACAAGCTCACAAGACAACCAGCCAACTTCCCAATAGGGTAAGTGTAACAACATGACTCCCAGAATGGAATTGCCTTGCAATCTGTTACCTATACATCTGATCAAGATCAAATTATCAGGCCAAGGCCTCCCTCCATTCCACCCCTCCAACAGCTTACCAGTCATCTGGTTTAACAGCATCTGGGTCTGGGATTTTTGGTCTCTCATCCCAGTCCTCAGGCTTCTGGTCATTCGGGTCCTCAATCTCTCGAGGTGGATTCACAGGAGGAGACATGTCATTTAGTAAATTCCCACTGTTGACAACCGTTTGATCAACCAGTATTTCAAAACTATTATCAGGATTCAAGACTGTAACAAAAAAAGTTGATGTAGCCATTAATGTATGACACGAAGCGTGCAAGGTATCACTCATCCCTGCTGTATGACTTCAGCAATCCAATCTACCACCTACCCAGCAACTGTTTTAAAGAATTGTGAACAAACGTCATCCTTAAGCCAAAGTGTAACCAGTGATGACCTACCACATCTCACTGTGTGAGAAAGGCGGCTCGTTACATGAGTTCCACTTTAAATATGCTAGAAGCACAGAGCTTCTTGTTGAGTGTGCCCAGCTGACTTGGGCACAGTAAGTATTGCTTCAGTAGTAAGAATGGATGTATTCACATTGTACTTGAGACTCCCTACTACTTGAGACTTGAGATTGTACTTGAGACTCCCTACTACACAGGGTTTTAATCTCACTCCTTTATCCACTGCTGCCTCTGTAGTTGGAAAAGCTAGAGATCCTCCTGAGTACTCCCTGAAAGTTTTTATTCATAGCTAAGATACCAAACCAGACACCATACTTAAAGAACAACCGAGTTTGCTGCTATGAACGCAGCAAGAAAAAAAAAAGATTATCCCTCTAAATCTAAAGCCTAGTATACTCCAAATTACTAAGGGGTAACATTCAAGCAGTTTATAAATGTTTATAATTATTTTGGAGATATTTAGCAGATCAAGTCACACACGACTGCTCTGAAATTCAGTTCTCCTTTAACTAAGTTCAGGGTCTCATGACCCTTCTTACATGAATCAAGACTTCTTGCAAGGAAGAAATAAGCCTTTGTATAATACAATCAGTTCTTGCATTCAGAGCTTTTAAGTGGTTTTTAGCTGGTGTGTTGACATAAATATTCAGTTGTTCATCTGTCTCATTTTATGAGCTTTTGATTCAGCAAAAAGTAGTCTGTCTCATTTTATGAGCTTTTGATTCCGCTAACAGTAGTAGTTATTAACATGCAGAGTTAACAGTCAACGTACCCAGAGTATAAAGATGGGTCTTCTTATCAGTAAAGTAAGTCTTCAGATCTGCATCTGGACGCTTTGCATGCTTCTCCTCATATTTGCCAGTCTTCGGGTTTTTGTGACGGAAGATGAAGTGCAATTTATAGTCCTCTCCACATTTGTCAGGGCCAAACATGATTGTATACGGAGTTTTGTCATGGAACTGATCCTTTTAAAAACAACGCAAAACTTCATTCCAGCATTTCAAAATACAACACAAGACCCTGCCTGGCATAAGAACTCCCAATTCACTAGAAAAAGCCACTAGAAATTGTTCTGCAACTCAATGTGTTGGGGAGTTGTGGTAGTGGAAGGGAGGAGGGTGCTCAGCTATAGCAGGGCCTCCTGTGAGAAGCTGCTAGAAACTTCCCTGACTCCAAGCTGGACTTACCTCTGGCCAAAGCCAAGCTAATTTGTGACAATGGTAGCACCTCTGTGGTAACATATTTGATGGGGGTGGAGGGGGAACTGTGCAAAAGCCTGCAGCAGATAGAGAAGTGGGATAGGCGAGAGACACCAAGGCAGACCCCCAGGTCAGTGCAGAAAGGCAGGGAGGAGAGGCCTGGAGCAGAGGTTCCCGGCAGCCATGGAGGGTCACAGGGGGGACAGAGACCCACCTGCAGCCCAGGAAGGACCCCACACTGGAGCAGGCAGCTGCATCCAAAGGACCTCATGACTCCATGGAGAGCCCACGCTGGAGCAGGCTACTCCTGAAGGACTGCATCCCACAGAAGGGACTGATTTGCTTGGTAACAAATTAAATTAATTTATTTTTCCCCCAGGTCAAGCCTGTTTTGCACATGACCATAATTGGTGGCAGATCCCTGTCTGTCCTTGTCTTGACTCACCAGCTTTTCCTCACATTTTCTCCTGCCCATCCCACAGGGGGAAGGAGTGAGCAAGCAGCTGTGTGGTGTTGAGTTGTCTGGGCCTAAACCGCAATACCTCAATATCAAGCCACCATTGTACCATCCTGGTTTTGGCTGTGATAGGGTTAAGTTTCCTCCTAGTAGCTGGTATAGAGCTGCATTTTGGGTTTAACATAACAATGTGGTAACACATTGATGTAGTATAAGCACCACTTAGCAATAACCAAGTCAAGAACTTCTCAGCTTCCCATGCTCTGCCAGTGAGGAGGTGCACAAAAAGCTGGGACAGAGCACAGCCAGGACAGCTGACCCAAACTGGCCAAAGGGACAAGAGTACAAGCATCTACAGAAAGCATCAGAATTATCCCAGCTACTTGATTTTGTACCTTCGGTCTCTACTTTCCAGATGGAAAGCAAGAGCCATACAGGTGCTATCAAAAAGGGAAGTGTAGTTAAAGTATATCTCTACATTATCATAAGGGACTCGGTCTCTACTTTCCAGATGGAAAGCAAGAGCCATACAGGTGCTATCAAAAAGGGAAGTGTAGGTGACAACAAAAATGTTAATCTCTACATTATAATAAGGGACTTTAAAAGCCATCAATATAGAAGTACCAGTTACTGGTAATAATGAATAACTAGCTAGTCTAGTGAGCTTCTTTCACAAAGTGAAAAGCAGCATTAAAAGTGAGGCCAAGTTGCATTTAGTTTACACTTACAGACTGGTATACTGTCTCAGTCTAAGATCTAACTGGTTATAATCATCTCACCTTTGAACACTGCAAGCAAATCTACTTGTTCTTACTAATACCTTAAAATTTAGTGCATCAGTTAGACAGCCAAGTAGTCTTTTGGGTGCCCTTTTTTTAATAATTTGGAATCTGTATTAATAATACAACTCCAGTGAGAATGCAGAAAGAAAGAAGAGTGGGTAACAAGTCATAAAAGGTACTTCCTGTAAAGTCTAGGAAGACAGCTAAAGAAAACTTACAGGCTACACAAGCCTGTGCAAGGTGACCCGGCAGTTAAGCTTTTGAACAGGCTAAATCACTTTAGGTAGGCGTATCACTGATAGGCAGGAAAATTATTCTTAATCCTTAGGAGTTGTAGCATAGTCTCTTCCAGTGATCACACTTTTAAATGACCCCTGAATGCACCGTCTTACCAAGAAAATGGTTCTATACAGCTAGTGTGTGAGGCTGAACGTACAGGGTTGTATCCAGTTCAACCTCTCAAGATTTGTTTTTAAGTATACCCAGTAACTCACAAGTGATTCACACGCCAAAGGTATGGCAATAAATGCAAGTTGTATTTTCAGTTACTTGCATTACTGTTTTAGAAGACGAAACATGGTATCTTCCTTCTAGGCAACAACTTCCTGAGGTTTCTCCCTGTACACTGGCTACTCTCAAGATACCTCCCCTTTGGTCCTAGAACCCAGGGAAGTCTGAAGTGTTGCAGACTGTAAACGTCTAGAACTGCTAAGGTACAAGGTAATTCCAGAGTTTTCACTCAACAGGCCAGAAATTGCCGAGTGTAATGCACTTTGTTGATCAGGCCCTACATATGCCCCACTGCCTTTACTGAAGAGGTTTCTTCAGGAAGAAATAAAATGGAAGCGTTCTTTCACAGCTAACAGTCAAGGCAGCAGCATTACTCACCAAGTTCAACTCAGGGGTTTTTGAAAGCAATTTTACATAGGCTCCGCCACACTCTATTCCATTTTGGAAGTTTACTTCATACCTAATTTTAGTTTTGGATACAGAAAGGAAGAATGTGTTATACATGGAGGAAAATTACTTCTGTAATACACAATTACCATTTTCAAGTACAAGTTAAGACTATTTTCTTTGCTTTATAACACATGTCCAGTGAATATTAAAAATACACACCGCACTCTAAGGACTAAGCAAATATTCATAAGGCAACAAGAGAAACTGAGGATTTAGAAGACCTAACCTAACAGGAAAGATTAAAGGAACTGAGTGCTGGTCTAGATGCTGATGATCTAGAAGTAAAGAGAAAGAAGAAAAAGCTTTCCAGTATGCAAGACACTGCAACAAAGATGAAGGCAAGCTAAATATTTTCCCCACAGCTACTATTGCAGAAAGACAACTGAATTACCAAAGTGACAAAAATTGGATCCTAACAGAAGCCCCTTTAGGGTTATAAGCAGACAACAGTGTATTTAGGGATGCCAAGGAGCCTGAAAAAGGCAAAACATCTCTGTCAGGAATAGGCTAAGTATGCTTGATCCTCTCTCAATGCCAGCAGCTGGACTGGATGACCACTGGGCTTTATTTTTAGTCTTGTATTTTGAGCCAAATCTAAAACAGCCATGCCAAGCAAAGTGACCAATTCATTATCTTGTGCAAATACAAACTAGCTTACTCTTTGTTTAAAACTGATAAAGTAGGTGATAAACCACAATTCAACTGTTCTCACTGAATTATTCCCTCCCCCCACCCTTCTTTCTAGTCCAACATACATGCAGGCAGATTCTTCTACATCAGTCATGGCCAAACAGAGCTAGGCAAGCTGTCTGTCTTCCACAACAGATGAACTAAGACACAGGAAAGAGTAAACGAGTGCATCTTTACCACACTGTCCACTCCACCTTGGAAAGAGGGGGTAGTTTACTGCATAAGGAAGTACACTGACCTACATATAGACCAGCTTTTGTCCATGGGGACAAAGACTTACACAATTAGCAGTACACAAGTCAGTTGCCTGACCTTGTTACTACAATTAAATCAAGGGAATTGAAGTCCCCAGATGGGTTATCAAGTGTAGTTTTCATAGACTTCTTTCCTTTTCAGGCTTCAGCAAGACCCATGCTGTTCTTCACTTCCCACTTTGGGACTATGGGTTGCTATTTTACTCTTACTTAACCAGTATAATAACAGGTTAGAGTAGCTTGTGTCATCTAGACCCCCAGTCAACATAAGCTCAGTTATGGAATTAACCTCGGCCTGCTATCATGCCACTCTTGAAATAGCAGAACACTAAGCTGTCCTTTACTTACTGTATAATAAGGGGTTTGGTATCAAATACAAAAGGCTTTGAAAGTCTGGATGAAATTGCATGATGCTTGGCTCTGGTTACCAGGACAAGCCCTTTGTCTCCTGGAAGTTTGGTGTCCTTCATGTCTTGGACTTCCCATTTACCTAGAGAGAAATTAACCAAATGGTATCAAAGCTTCTTCCAGACAGTCCTTGTTTAGCCCAATTCTGAACAAGATAGCCAGCTTCTTAAGTAACACTCTACAGGGTACCTTCTCAAGTTATTAGCATAACATGTTCACTAAAAATTATTTTAAAACCTCCAAGTGGAAGGTCCAATTTGTAGTTCTGATTTGGACAGAACTACCACTTTATATTCTTAGCCAGGTATATAAACACTCCTCCCGTTTTCTTCAATGAATTTTAACTGGTAAACAAAAAACAAAGGCTTGCACCTCTTCAAGTATGAAAAAAAGACATCAGAAACATCTATCATCCAAAACCTGGGTTGGACTCACCATCATATTTGGAAATCTCATCATCCGTATCATCCTTCTTTGCTCTGGAAAGGATCCATCTAGAAGACAAGACATCCAATGGTCAAAAACCACATACTTTCTTTCCCCCACACTAAAAATCTCGTCTTTAAGATAACAACACGGCCTATGACTACACCCCAATGTCTTGATCCTCTAAGGAGTTCTATGCTAAAGCCTGCAAAGTTTTGTGCATTTGCCACTTCCCCACCCCCAAAGGAGGATCATGGCCTCAGTGTCTTGTTCTTGTTTAAAAAAGAAAAAAAAAAGTACATCACCATCCTCACATTACCTGAAGAAAGTGAGAATTCAGGTGAGGATGTATGGCTCACCTCCCTCTTGTTGCTAGAACTTAAGGAAACCCTAGTTTACCTCAGCACTAACAGCCAGCCTCACAGAGTCACTGCTGCAAACCTCACTGATCACTGCCTTTGGTTCAATTTTGAACGACACAGGCTCTAGTGAAGGTTTCATTGCCTTTCATCAGAATTTTTACTTACTTACTGAATCATCCTTCAGATTATACTCACCCATCTAGAGTTCCCTTATCAAAGGACTCTGCAAAATACACCTCACCAGTTGGGACTGGGGCCCTGTAGGTAACCTATCAGGGAAGAGAGGCAGTTATGCACCTTTCCAACACATTCTCTACTCAAAGGAAACACTGACATGTAAAGCTCATATACCCCCTACACTCAAGCACAGGTTACCTGGCACACCCCTGCCGCATAAATACAGAAGTTACATAAATATCGCTGCTTGTGCAGAGCCCTTGTGCTCACCTGCAACTAAAAATGAAGTATGTATCTAGCTGGAAACATCAGCATTAACTCCTGGTAATCACATCATGGATTTTAAGGGTGGATAGAAGTTTTCAGGAAGAACACGTGGGACATGAGAACAGGAGTGAAGCAGCTAGGCTTAAGATGTTGTCTGCTCCCAGACAACATCACATCCTGGTAATCACATCATGGATTTTAAGGGTGGATAGAAGTTTTCAGGAAGAACACGTGGGACACGAGCACAGGAGTGAAGCAGCTAGGTTTAATTCCAAACCCTGCTCCCAGATAACATCACACACCATATCACACGTTAGCAAAGTAAAACCGATTCTGATCAGACTTACATTAACCACAACACAAGTGGTAATTCAGTTTTTAAAATAAGTTCCATGCCAAACCTTTGGAGTTGGAGGAGGAGTGCTCGTTTCAGGCTTCAACTCTTCCACCTCCTCAATGCCATCATCCATGTCATCCTCAATATCAACCACATCGTCACCATCATTGTCATCATCCATATCATGTGCCTGGACAGCTAGAGTCCCAAGAGCGAGCAGGGTCACATACAGTAGCCATTTCAGCTCCATGATCTGAATAAGTAAGACAAGGCAAAGAGGTCAAGCCAGTGCTGCACGCAGAGCAAAGCACTGCTTCCCAGTACAAACCCAAGCATCCAAGACAACAGGTGAAGTGCTTAGTTATACTACTGACGGAGTGCAAACTTGTCTTTTCAGCTCTTATTTACTGCATCTGGCTGATTAAGACAGCTGTAAGAGCTGGACAAGAACACAACATAAAGCTGAAGTACCTAACGCACACCGGACATTAACTGAGTACAGGACCATGGTGCACGTTCTGCAGATCACGCTGCAGGAGTGCCATCATTCTGCTCTTAAGCTGCCACAGTCCACGAGCAGAACAGCAGACACGTACGCAGCCCCACAACCCACGTACCTGCAAATGCCTAAACGGAAAACCTTTTCTTGCTTATGAAGGACTTGAAATGCATCATGCAGCAACTGAAATTTCCATTCAGTTCAGGAAGTGAAATACAATTAGCCAGCTCTTTCAAGCAGAGAGTAATCTAGGGAGTAATCAATCCTCTACCTCCTGTTCAATATTTTTTGTCCTGCCAACTGTGGGACACCGGCGTTTTCATTAACCCGTCCCCTTCCCCAGGTTTCATTCTGGAATGACTGCCAGCAGTCATTGACGCTACTGGCAGAGGTCTGTAAGCAGTTGAGACTACCGAGGCAGACCCAGGAGAAAACTACTTACTCAACAGAACAATCAAAGAAAAAGAATCTGTTAACAGAAGTTTTACAGTCACACCTAAAATATGGTAGACCTTGGCAAGCCATAGCACAAAAGATCTTGTAAGTAAAGTGGGTTTCAATATTACTTTCTTGGTAGAAAAGCTACAAGATCACTGCACCATTAGGCTGACACAGAAGGCAACACTCCTAGCATGCTGTTCAGTTTAATCTGCCAAAAACCCCACAAAAACAACCTGTGCCTGGTTCACCTTTTCTCCTTTGAATCACAGTTTTTCTCCCAGAACGAGAGTGGTAACTGAAGCCAATACTTTTTTTGAAAGCAAGTATAAAAAACAGACATCCCCTCCTTGCCTTACACTCCTGCCTCGGGCTGTAGCCCTGCAGACTTAGAAAACATAACTCAAGCAGAGTTAACAGTGCCTGTAGGGGCGTATGATCATGCTAGAAAATAAACTACTTTCCAAAGTATGTTTAGGCAACTAAAGATTTTACAGTCTTAAAGGCTTATCAGCACTAGCCAATACTCCCAAACTATGCTGCATACTAGATCTACCATCCTTAGATTATTCTTTAACTTACTTCTAATGACAGAGGAGATGTTTTATAACTACAACAAAACTGTATTTAAAGACCTGTGCTGAGGTCACGTCCAGTTTGCCACTACAGCAACATGCAACTGCAGCCAGTTTTCTAACAATAGTGATGGCCTTGAGGATTATGGTCTCGATGCCAACAACCCTCCCCCGCACAGTTCAGGCCACGGCACTGAAACACCTCTGACCAAAAGGACACCATTCCCAGCAGCAACAGCCGACACACTTTCACGTGTTGTTGCATTAGATACCAGCAAAGCTTGTTCGCTTCAGGCAGGGAGTACAGCCTGACCTGAAAGCTGTTACAGACCTCATAGCTCTGACTACTCATGTGGCAACCACAGTACCAAACCAAGGATGAAAACTATCAAGCAAACATTAGTACCCTTGGAAGTTGCAAGTTCTTCTTGCACAGATAGCATGTTCTCGTGCCCACCAGTAAAGAAACAGTACAGAGAGCAAGAGCCTGAACCTTCATTTGAAAGGGTGATCTTCAGAGCTCTGCATGTGTCCCGTGCGACTGAAGCAGCTACCAACGAGATGGCACAAGGACACCTTTCCAAGGGAAGGGTTCAGTTTTGTTTAACCTTACAAGGCCTCACCAGATACACTTCTGAACAGAGCTCAATTCAAGATTTTACCCCAAGTTTTATAATTGCTTTCCAATTATATTATGCAGATAGAACTACCGCTTTATGGTTCAGAAAGTGATACAAGGAAATTAATCTTAAAAAATATAGGAAGGTTAAATAAAGATAAGCCAATACTCTCCTCTCCTCCTAAGAGGAAGGAGTTTCTGCATACCTCCTCCCAAGCCTGTGCAAAGGATATTAATGACTTAGCACACAAGTAATCCCTTAAGTAATCTCACCACTAGCCAACCAACAATAAAGTTTTGGTGAAAGAATTGAATCATCCCCCCTTAACTTTCATGCCAGTATCAACTCCATACATAGCAATTTCCTACTTCACAATCCCATCCCAACTACAACCCTTTGGAAATATCTGTCAGCAGCAAATGGACTTTGGTAAATGCTAGCACGTAAGTGGCAAAGCCTCATCTGGCTGCTCCAGAAATTCTTCTGTCAAAGCATCGCAGGGGCAGAAGCTACGCCACCGCGCATCTGTGCTCCCGATACAACCATGCTTCTCTGCATTTATCAGTTAATGCTGTCTGAATTTGAGGCCTCACTGAACCTCACCTCAAAGTAGAAGTACTGTCTGGTCAAGTTCCCAGAAAAGTGTGCCTTTTCCACCTTCCCCCAAAAAAAGCAAGCTAAAAGCATGAAGAGAAGCTAATTCAGCTTCACGTCCTTGACTCTTTATAATCATTGGCAAAGAGTATTCACAAGTTTATAGCCCTACAAAAAACTGTTTAGGACACCTCCTACATAATAAATCAGTCCCAAATTCAACATAATTGATCCACCTTGAGTACAAACTGGTAGCATCTCCTGCAACGGCCAGTTGTCAGGCCAAACTCCTTATCCTGTTAATCTGTAACAATATACAAACTAAATTACAAGAAACAGAAGACACCATGTTCTCAGAAGAGCAATTGAAGCAAAGCACACATTTTTGATATTTAAAAAGCTACCTCCATCCATAACGCAAAGCACACATTTTTGATATTTAATGGATGATCCGTAATGGATGCACTGCTAGTGGAGAATTTCAACTTCACAAAATCCTTAAGGACACAACAAACATGATTATGCCCTAGTAAATTAGGTTATTTCTTAATAGAAGATAGAAGGGGAGGGGAGGAGGAGAGAGAAGAAACTCAAGTTTTATACAAAACAGGCATAAACTGATTTTCCGTGGAGCTTTATGCCCTAGTAAATTAGGTTATTCCTTAACAGAAGATAGAAAGGGAGGTGAGGAGAGAGAAGAAACTCAGGTTTTATACAAAACAGGCATAAACAGATCTTTCGGTGGAGCTTTAAGTTGCTAGAAGCTACAGGTGTTCCATTTGTCACCTAAAATGTCACCTAACCTTCAGACACAACCACCTACTCTATTATCAGATTTCCCCCTGAAGTGTCCGATCTCCAAGCAATTACCATCATTAGCCTTGTTTTACTCTGCCCACACTTCCCTTCTTTAGGTTTAACTGTGTAATGTTTCTGAAGGTTAGCGTACTTCTGACCACGCAACTGCCAAAAGCCTTTAACAAAGGAACCTTTTCATAATGGGACAGTGCTTCCATGTCTCTGTTCTACTTCAGCGCAACCTTCCTTTTCACCATAATGACGTTTCAAGTCTCAGATGACTAAACTATCTAATTTTTTTTATAAGGTCTTCAGACACTTACAGACATTGGCACAACACCTGGCCTGAAGGGAAAACTACTGCAGCATAGTACCAGAGTACTAACTAGGAGGGGAGTTCAGCATTGCCAGGGCTAACAAATCATTTGTTCACTGTCTGCGTGTCCACCCACAGCCAGCTTCTACATCAGAAAATTTAGAGCTGACATTTAAGCACTGTCCACTTGATTGTCAAAAAGCCAAAGCGCTTTCCCCTGGAATTCACAGGAGCTGTAACAGAGCACTGAAAACGGGCACCTGCAAGAGCCGCACCACACTCTACAGAGTGGAAACTAACTCCAATTGGAGTGAGATTCAGAGACAGGAGCAGGTTCTTACCACAGCAGTAGCACTCTTAATGTAGGGCTAAGTGACTGCCACCTTTGGAATGCAAGGCTTTAAAGGAAGTCATGCAGCTTCAAAGACTTATTTTTATTTAGAATTCCCCTTTCACTGGACATAAAGGGTAAAGTTGTTCTTCATTACTGGCATGGCACTGGAAGCACCTGACCCATACAGCAGACAGTTGTCACCACCAGCATACAAGTCCTGGGAAAGGACGGACAGTGAAAGGGCCCACGCCAAGGATGTTTAAGTCCTTCGCTATCATACTTCCAGAACATACTATTTAGAAAGTACCTTCCCTGTCAGGTCAAACAGAGCCTGCAAAACCAGTTTAATCATCTCCCTGGTTACTAATCTATTTGAGTGGTTCATCAGGCTAGTTCTTAACACTGCATATTTCAGAATGTGTAACTAGAGTTGAATTGCTACCGGCTATCTAGTTTACTACCTTTTTTAAAGAAGAATTAAGTGTCAAATTAAATGGGTCTTAAAGACATATTAAAAACAAGTCACTATGAACTATACCTCAGCAATTTAACTGGAAGAACATCAGTGATTTCTATTTCAGCAGCATCTGAAGCGACAGCTGAATGACTTAAACACCGGAAGAGCAAAATTTGCTATCAGAGTTGCATGTTCCAAATACTGGATTTCAATATGGTATTTTCAGTGGAAGCACACCAGTAAAAACAAACACAGTGCATCCTCACGCAAGGCAAGAATTACGGAAGAAAAATTGAAAGTCAGAAGAGAAACTTATCACAAGACAAAAAATTGCAAGGAGACAAGAACAGAAAGGCTGAGACATAGCTACTCATTTTCCCTCTCAAATTACATTTTTATGGTTTCTGAGCAGAAGGCGTGGCTAGCCTACTTCACAGTCCACCAGCTTCTTAAAGTCAGAACTACTGACTAGCAGAGGAAACCTTTTCCACACCTCACAACCCCTCCACCTTCCGCATCCTGGCTCCTCTGTGGTGCCAGGGTAACTGTTTACACAGCCTCATGATGAGCTAGCAGCTGGTTTAAGATGGCTCAGAGTCCTTCTGCCATGTTATTTTAA